GATAGATAGATAGATAGATAGATAGATAGATAGATAGATAGATAGATAGATAGATGTCATCTCTATGGCACCCGTCATACGCTGTGACAGATAACTGTGCCTTTTCGCTTGTATAATGAAAACGTTCCTGATTCGTTATTTTGCCGAGATAATGTCAGTCACTTTTACCTTGACCTGATCCAGAATTTTCTTGAGATCATCAGGCCACATATGTTTGGATGCGTCAATTTGGAAACCGGCCACTCCTAGTTCAACGAGATGGTTAAAGTAGTCAGCGATTTTGCCGCGGACGTAAGGATTGGCCAAGCGGAGATCAAGCAGATTGACCAGACGGCAGTTTCTGTGGATAAACACACATTATGTGATCTGGCTTTGGCGGTAAAAGTCTGTCTGAGCCCGCCTCCTTTGCAAAAATAATCTAAACAGCGGTTGGGGGGGGATAGATAGATAGATAGATAGATTACAAGTATTGCCTTGCAGGACCTACCTGAAAGCCATGCCCATATCCCTCCCGAACTTGAAGTTTGTGACCCGTCCTATCTCCAGATATTCATCTCCTTTGATTGGCTCACCACCATAATCAATGACTTCATGATAGACAAAGGGGCGGCCACCCATTTGTACATCCTGAAAATGAGAAAAAGATTTTGGAATTTTGAATGTGCAGCGTGCATAACATCGGATGGGGTTGATCGATCTTTCTTCAACAGCAGGTCACGCCCTCCGTCGTGTTTTTAATTAATATGGGTATGCGGGCTAGCCGAGCAAGCCAGTCTTGTGTCCAATGTTTGGCCCGTTAGCAGGAGTTTACCTTCACTCATGGAAAGAGGCACTAGCAGCGGTTATTTCGTGCTCCTCGAAGTGGATTATATTAGTTAGTGAGAGTTTACTCTGTCCTTTTTTTCGGAGCTGATTCGGTAATGTGTAATTTTTGCAGGATTCGTAGCTTGAAGGAAATTCTGGCTGACCTTGACTGTATCAAATGAATCTATTATATCCAATGGGAAATGTCAACGGGGTATAGTATAGTTTTTGTGATAATAAGCCACTTTCTCTCCTCTAATGTCCGCGAAGCTATGATTGTGTGGTTTAAGTCGAACGCCTTTATCAACACGATAACAATTTAACAGGTGTGATTTTGATTTTATATTTCGTCTCCGGTGAAACCGAGTCACGACCCAGAAGAAAGTAAGTTTGAATCGAGGTTTTTTTAAAAGTCACGAAAGAAGCACTAACATGCAACAAGATACCGCTGAGTTTGCTGAAAAGGAACGAGCGTGCCAGGGGATAGCAGCTTAAGATAGATTTCATCCCCCCGTACTCCCTTCCCCCAA